CCACCATGCTCACGCCCACTGTTAATTGAGTCAGTCTATCTTGTTGAGAGTCTTCCTGTTTTTCACCGACCCTCCACCTTGCCCTGCATGATGTCTTTTCCAAGGACAGGTCCCTCCTGACAACATGTTCAAAGTATGAGACCAAGTTTTACCATCCTTGCCTCTAAGGAGCACCCTGGCTATGCTTCCTCCAAGAAAGTTTTGTTGTTGTTGTTGTTGTTGTTGTTATGTGCTGTCAACTGTGACCCATAGTGATCCTATCTATGCAAAATAGCTCTGAACACTGTCCTATCCTGAGCCAATCTCACTGCCTCTGACACACTTGCTCCCATTTTCCCAGTTACTGTGTCTATTAATCTTATCCAAGGTTTCCCTCTCCTGTTCCTCTCTCTGCCCTTCCTGGAACGATGTCTTTCTCCAAGGATTGGTCCCTCCTGACCATATGCCCAAAGTATGTGAGAGGGAGCTCCCAAGGAGCAACTTGTTTCACTCTTTGCAGGACACGTTGTTGTTTTTAGTTTTTTTGTTCTCTTGGTAGTCAATGGTAAATTAAATACTCTTCTCTAGCACCACAACTCAAAGGCATCTTGATTTGAGAAGTAATTTCACAAGTAATTGTGAAAGCTATGACCTGGATCAGGTGCACCTTAGCCTCTAGACTGACATCATTGCTCTTCAGCATTTTGGAGAGGTCTCTAACAGCAGATTTTCCCAATGCAATTTGTCTTTTGTTTTTCTGACTGCTGATGGCAGGGGTGTTGATTGTGGACCTGAGCTAGCTGAAATTGTTAACAATCTCAATCTTTTCTCCCCCTACCATGATGTTGCCAATTGACTGAGTGGTAAGAATATTTGTGGGTTGGTTGTTTTGTTTATTTTTTATGTTGAGCTTCAATCTATATGGAAAACTGCCTCCTTCATTATGGTGAGTGAAATATCTCAGTCACAAAAGGACAAATATTACATAATGCCACTGTTATAAAAACAGGACTGAGATAGCAGTTGAGGGGAAACTAAGAAAAGAGGAGATAATGAGCACTGCATTGGGACAGGTGAAGAAAAAAACTATTTCAATGGAATATATGATTTTGCATTATTTGTATGAGAAAAGTCCAGAATAAGAGGTGCACACAAAGTGGACTGGTAGGGGTAGGGAGGAGGAAATTATGCAACAATGAATTTTTTATTTATTTTTTTAATGAGCTGGGTTGGTATGAGTGCAACAATGAATGAATGAAAAATCCAACTTTTTTGAAACTTTAGTTAAAATCACAATTTAAAAAAAAAGAAACGCAATAACAAAACCCTGATGTCCTTGACCTTTTGCAGCAAACAGTTCAGGTCCTCTTCAGTTTCAGCTAGTAAGATTGTGTCATCTATACAACACAGGTTGTTGATGAATCTTCCTTCAATCCTGATGCCACAGTCCTCCTTCTAGAGCCCATCCTCCCAGATAATCTGTTCTGCATAAAGATTGAAAAGGTGTGAGGATAAAACACATCCTTCCCAATTTTGAAACATACAGAGTTTCTTTGCTCTGTTCTGCAGACTGCTTCCTGATCATAGTATGCTGTTGTTGTTATGTGACATCAAGTCTCCTGTGACTCATAGCAACCCTATGTACAACAACCCTAAACCCTGCTCTATCCTGTGTTGCAGACCGAGGGTCCCAAAGAATAGAATAAATTTATAATAAAGAGACAAACAGCCAGGAATGATATAGAACAGAGAATGTGAAAAACAGGGGGCCAACAGTTCCCATGACTGAAGGCCCCGAGCCATGCCTCTCTATTTATACAGAAAAACAAGGAAGTACAAAACAAAGGATAATGGTGAAATCTTTTACAGATAAGGCCAAGTTCCTAGGGGTTCATTTGATAAAAACTAAGAACAATGTTGACTCCTAAGGAACGCCCTAGTGTCACAAGGTGACCTTCAGCTTGTATTAAGCCTCCCTCATTTCCCGATACAGCATTTGGTCTACTATTATTAAATTTGATATTCGGCTTCCCTCAATCCTGTGCCAATCTCACTGTCTCGGACACACCTACCCCTATTAGCCAAGTCACTGAATCAATCCATCTCATAGAGGGTCTTCCTCTCCTGTGCTGCCCCTCCACTCTCCCAAGCATGATGTTGCTCTCCAAGGTCTGGTCCCTCCTTGCAACATGTCCAAAGTATGACAGACAAAACTTGAGAATCCTTGCCTCCAAAGAGCAGCCTGGTTTAACCCTCTCAAGGATGAACTTGTTCATTTTCTTAGCAGTCCATGGTATATTTAATACACTACAGCTCAAAGGCATCAATTCTCTATCATCCCTAGTCATTGTCCAGCTCTCTGACGCAGAGCAAGTGATTGCAAAGACCATGGCCTTTATCAGGTGCACCTTAGTCTCCAGAGTGACACCATTGCTTTTCAGTACTTTGGAGAGGTCCCTAACAGCAGACTTTCCCATCGCAATAAGTCTTTTAATTTCATGGCTGCTGGTGCCAAGAGTGTTGACTGTGGAGCCAAGCAAACTAAAGATGTGAACGATCTCAGTCTCTTCACCACCCATCCTGATGCTACGAATTGGCCCAAAGGTGAGAATCTTTGTCTTCTTGACATTGAGCCTCAATCTATATTGAAGGCTGCAATCCTTGAACTTCTACAGCAAGTGCTTCAGGTCCTCCTCAGTTTCAGCAAGCAGGGTTGTGTCATCTGCATAATGCAGATTGTTGATGAATCTTCCTCCAATCCTGATCCTCATAGAGCCCAGCCTCTGGAGAATTGATGCCTTTGAGCTGTGGTGCTGGAGAAGAGTATTGAGAATACCATGCTCAGAAAACAAACAGATTTGTCCTGGAAAGGGTTAAACCGGGTGGCTCCTTGGAAGCAAGGATTCTGAGGCTCCGTCTAACTTACATTGGACATGTTGTGAGGAGAGACCGGTCCTTAGAGAGGGACATCATGCTTGGGAGGGTGGAGGGACAGCGCAGGAGAGGAA